TCATTAAACTGGTAAACATGACGCCAAGGGTCACACTGTTTTCTGAGTGTTTGCAACACAGTTCTGAGTTTAAATAGTTAATTTGACATAGTTTGCTCAAGTCATTTGGAAGTTCCTGTTTAGTAATAAATGTAAAGCAAATTCAAATCTGTTTGGTTTTTCATTTAAGCTGCAGTTTTACAGACTTTAATAAACATAAACACAAACCAGACACAAACCAGACACTGAAAGCTGAGGTTGTTCTGAAAAAAGGAGCAGAGTTACAAACATTTTACACTTTTATTACAATTTTAAAGCCATAAAAAAAAACTAAAATACCAGTTATATTTATGGTCATAAGAGGGTTAACCGTGATAAATTTTCCACCTCCCACAAAGAGATGGTAAAAGTGAATGTGAGCATAATTATATACATTTTATGACTTTATTATGTATTTTTTTTACTATTGACTATTACTCCAAAGGGTTCAAATGAAGGCATCTGGACTTCTTTGGTTTCTTTAAAACATTTCTCTTCTCCACTGAGGAACGTTGTCAGTTCTAACTGGAATATGGGAGAGCCAAGTTTATAAGCTGTAGCTGTCTGTTGTTATTTAACGAGCAGAAACTACTCTGAGTACCCGGCCTCTCCATATCCTGATGAGTCGTTGGCCTCCACTGAGGGTGAGTTGTTGTGTTGATTAGATGCAGGAAGGTGTGACCTAGACTGAAACTGCTTAGGACTGAGATCCAAAGCTGCATTATAGGAGCTGGAAAGGTGAAACCTAAGCCCCCCAACTGGTATAAGAACAGGACTCAGTATTGGAAGATAATCACAAATCAAACAACTTGGACTCAGATCAGGGGCAAAAATTTGGTTGTAACATCTCTAGATATAAGTCAGCTTTATAAACTAAAACTATTATTTATGAACTAACATTAACACTAACATTAATGACACTAATTGATGTATTTTTATTATGTTGTTTGAACCCAAGTGTCTCATTATCTGAATTTTCTAACTTGTTGGATTGTGAATCTGTTTAAAAGTTTTGCTCTATAAGTGCCCCTTTTTTTACTTTGAGCACCCGCCCCGTCAAAGGTCTCTGCACGGCCCTGGACTGGTGGCATCTGTGCTTGGAAGTCTCGCCTCTATCAGTGCGCCCCAGAGCAGCTGTAGCTACATTGTGGCTCATCACCACCAGTGTCAGACTGGTCGGCTGGATTCGGGAGTTGAGCTTGTAGAGAGCGTGGTTTCACAGACACGGAAGTGATAGCGTCGGTGAAACGCCGGCTCACGATTTATTCTAGGAATCCCCGAGCGTTAAAGCATCAATGAAGTGACACAGAAATGCTGGGTTTTCCAGAAGTAAGTAAGAACACTTACTGTGAGCGGATAGTTCGTAAGATGGATCGGTTGACTGGAAACTCTGATCATGGATCTGAAGAAACGATGACTGAGTGGTGAGCTGGGGAGGCGACTTCCGTATATAGTCGCGGTTAGTGACGTAGGTGTGACGTGGAGGGAATCCTCGCGAGGGGCATGCCGGGAGATGTGGTCCATGGTGGAGATCGGCTAGCTGGGAGAGGCTGGCTTGGGGACTTGGGTTCTGACAGGACCCCCCCCCCCCCCCCGTCCAGGGACGGCTCCCAAAGTCCCAGAAGTCAGAGATAAGGGCAGGGTCCAGGATGGAGCGGGCCGGTTCCCAGGATCGTTCTTCGGGGCCGTAGTCCGCCCAGTCCACGAGGTATTGCCATTCCCGTCCTCTGCGACGGGCGTCCAGGACACGTCGAACGGTGTAGATGGGCTCACCATCGAGGAAGCGGGCAGGCGGAGGCGCCGGAGGCGGAAGCAGGGAGGAGTCCACACAGGGCTTGAGCTGGGAGGTGTGGAAGGTGGGATGAATGCGGCAACCGCAGCCGGTACGAAACTGGGTTGATGACCTTCTGTATGGTGTAAGGCCCGAGGAACCGGCGGTGGCCACCCAGACCTTATCCCCAGGGACATAGGAGGGACCAGGACGGTGTCGGCGGAGGTGTTGGCGAGCGTAACAGGCATTAGCTCGGGTGATGGAAGCTCGTGCTTTGATCCAGGCGTTCTTGCAGCGCCTCACTAGGGATTGTGCGGCAGGTACAGCAACTTCGGGCTCCTGGTGGGTGAAGACCAGGGGCTGGTAGCCATAGCAGACCTCGAAAGGGGACATATGAGTAGTTGAGGAGGTGAGAAGATTGTGGGACAACTCTGCCCAGAGGAGGTATTTGGGCCATTGCGAGGGTTGGGCCGAGACAAAGCACCGGAGGTACCGACCCAGCTGTTGGTTAACCCACTCCGTCTCACCATTGGTCTGCGGGTGATAGCCTGAGGATAGGCTGACCAATGCTCCCATTAGGTGGCAAAAGGCTTTCCAGAATCGGGCCGTAAACTGGAGACCCCGGTCGGAGACCACATCAACAGGGAAGCCGTGGAGGTGCACCACGTTTTCCAGAAATAGTTCCGCCGTGCGTCGGGCCGAAGGGAGACCCGGAAGGGCGATAAAGTGGACAGCTTTAGAAAACCGGTCAGTGACCGTGAGGACCGTGTTGAGGTTGTTGACCGGGGGGGGGGGGGGGGGGGGGGGGGGGGTCCTGTGACGAAATCCAGACCCACGTGGAACCAAGGACGGCTGGGCACCGGAAGAGGTCTGAGGACACCAACAGGGGCCTGGCTGGGTGTCTTGGAGCAGGCGCAGATGTCACAGGCACTAGTGTATTCCTTAACATCCCTCACCATGCATGGCCACCAGAGTGCTTGTTGGAGGAAGTTCAGAGTTCGAGAGAACCCCGCGTGGCCAGACAGGCGTGACGAGTGGGCCCAGGAGAGTGCCTCGCTGCGACAGGATGTAGGGACATAAAGACGACCCGCGGGGGTCTCTGGACGTGCAGGGTCATCCCGGAGGGCGTTCTGAATAGCCTCCTCCAACGGCCACCTTAAGCTTGGTTTATGCTTGATGCATTCACTTTCCGCTTAGTGATGCGGCTCGCGGATGGAACGCGCTTCACAACTCGCAGCGTTTATGGTTCGTGCGGCTCGTCTCTGCGGCGAGCCAATATTCTCCCAAACTGAACGGGGCAGCATGGAGCTCTACAGCATGCATCCAGCACTACACCATAGTAGAAGTAAAAATGACTGTTAACATGGCATTTCAGCATTATTAACAGCATCCTCGACTTTTCCGACAGTGCAAGCTATTTCTCTCCAAGAATTATTAACAACATGTTGATCACGGTGATCTCTGAGAGCTGAATCATACAAATGTCTGTATGTACGAACCTCTGCCATACTAGTTCTTGCCGGTCTGCCATGTTTTTCCGCATCCGACCGTCCGCCTGGTTAGAAATTTTCCTAGGTGCGCGTTGCGGAAATTTTGGGCCGTGCGGAGGCGCGGTGGAGGGGTGTGGTTGTTAAAATGATGCGATTTCGCCGCGCGGAGCCGTGCAGACCTCGCGGACGTGTCAAGCCTAAACCAGCTCTTAGGTGGGCCAGGAAACGGTACTCTGGGAGAATTGGTGCAGGCTCGGACGTCGGCATGGAGTGTGTGAACTGGCGGGAGAGGGCATCAGCCTTCTGGTTCTTAGTTCCAGGCCGGTAGGCGAGATGGAACTCATAGGGCCCGAAGAAGAGGGCCCAGCGGGCCTGGCGAGGATTGAGCTGCTTGGCGGATCGGATGTGAGTCAGGTTCTGGTGGTCCGTCCAGATAGTGAAAGGCTGGGTGGTGCCTAGAAGCCACTGTCTCCACTCCTTCAGCGCCCATTTTATGGCCAGCAGTTCACGATCACCCACGTCATACTTCTTCTGGGTGGTGGAAAACTTCCTAGAGAAGTAGGCGCAGGGATGGAGTCTGTCGTCGGGCCCACCTTGGGACAGGATGGCACCAGCACCGACGTCCGAGGCATTGACTTCGACCACAAAGGGCTCCTTAGTATCTGGATGGCGGAGGATAGGGCCGACGTGAACCGGGTGACCAGGTGGCGGAAGGCCCGAATGGCGTCTGGAGTTAGACGGAACTGTTGGCCGGGTGGGCTTGGTCGGGTGAGGGAGGTGAGCGGTGCCACAATGGTGCTGAAGTTCTTAATAAAATGGCGGTAAAAGTTGCAGAAGCCCAGAAAACTCTGTAGCTGTTTTAGGCTCGTAGGAAGGGGCCAGTCAGTGACCGCCTGGACCGTTTGAGGATCCATGGTTATGCCCTGATCCGAAATCATGAAGCCCAGGAATGAGATGGTCCGCTGGTGGAAAGAGCATTTCTCGGGTTTGCAGTATAGGTTATTGTTCAGGAGCCGGGTCAGGACGGCACAAAAATGGTGGAGGTGTTCGGCCTCGGACTTGGAGTAAATTAGGATGTCATCCAGGTAGACAAACACCGACCGGCCCAGCATGTCGCGGAGGACCTCGTTAATGAGGCGTTGAAATACGGCAGGGCTATTGCACAACCCGAAGGGCATGACCTGGTACTCCCAATGACCGGTGGGTGTGATGAATGCGGTCTTCCACTCATCCCCAGCTTTGATGCGGACCAGAATGTAGGCGCTCCGGAGGTCCAGTTTTGTGAAGATCCGCGCCTGGGAGATGGAGTCCAGAGCAGTCGTGAGGAGTGGCAGGGGATGGCGGTCCCTGATAGTGATCTTGTTTAGACCCCGGTTATCTATACAGGGATGAAGGTCATCTTTCTTTTTCTTCACAAAGAAGAAGCCTGCAGCACCCGGGGAAGAGGAGGGTCGGATGAAACCCTGCTGGAGGGCCTGGTTGATATATTCCTCCATAGCTCTGGATTTGGACAGAGAGAGAGAGAAAAGGCGCCCACGGGGAGGACTGGTACCTGGTTGTAGCTTGATCTCCATGTCATATGGGTGGTGAGGTGGCAGTGTGGTGGCGCGTCGCTTATCGAAGACTGTGGCCAGGTCCCGATAGGGTAGTGGCAGATTGGGCGGTAGAGGACCAAGACCACCAGCCGGGCGGTCTGCCATGGGTGGAGGAGGAGAGAGGTGGACCTGGCACTGGGTCCCCCAGTCTAAAAGGCGGTTCTGGGACCAGGAAATCTGGGGGTCGTGGAGATGGAGCCAAGGGACCCCCAGGGTTAGAGGAGAGGAGGGAGCGGAGATGAGAAAGTGGAGGGTTTCCTGGTGGCCTTGGAGGACCATCTGGAGTGACTGGGTTCGGTCTTGGACAGGATAGGGCTGGATGTAAGTAACTGTGGAACGGCTCTGTAAATAAGTGATTGTTCATGCATGGTTTTAATTTGATTTTATAGTTTTATACTGCATGCTTTTATTTTGGCGGACCAGCAGAGGAAATAAGGGAGAGCAGAGAAGGCCAATTGACTTTTGCTTGGAAACTGACAGCATGCTGTAAGACCAAACAGACAGGACTGGGCCTCTATACCCTACCTTTTGACAATTAAGCGCCTAGCTGGAATTGGGAACAAGGTATTGTTTGATGCATGTGTTTTATGTGGATTTATGTGATTTTCTATGTATGTTGTTGTGTTTAAAGTGGTTAAATGCACAACAATGCTAACAGACATCTCAACCATAGAGCCAGGTGAACACCCATGCTAATATTAGCCTTTGTGTGTTTCACATGCTTGGACTTAGTTTTAATATTGGTTTTAGCTTTTAACATGTTTATGCACATTTTTGATCTCACTCAACTTATTAATGTAGATTCAATAATATTGTAAATGGTTATATGGCATAAAGGTCATCTTTGTAAGAGCTCATTATATTTTCATTTATCTGTTTTATTTAGCTCTTACGGTGTTTCAAGAAAGAAAAGGTGGATTTATGTTCAAAATAAGGATGCCAGCTGAACATGAATAAAAATTCCTTGAGAAACATCAGTACGCTTCACCATTGTCTGGCTGGGTTCGCTACAGTAAGAGCTTGACCCTCATCAAGCCTGATGATCTGCTGCCACCCTTGACGAGCCATGATGGGGGATCTTCATGCCTGATCTACACTAACCCAAGCAGCAGACACAAGGATTTGGTGCAATGGTCAAGTACGGTAACAGTTGGAGATATTGAAGCTGAACTGTGATTGATCTGCAATTATACAGACTATGGAAGAAAGACTTTGTGAACTAAATCAATGAACAGTTAAAATTACCTGCTCAACAAATCGCAAAGAGGAACTTTTACAGCATTTGCATGATACAACTGGACAATTTATAGCTAAGGACATTTTCCCTTTCACATTGGACTTTGCGGTATAAGTTCTTTGAAAGTTGTGTTTATTTTACTCTTCTTATTTGCAGTTATTGATGGTCTTTGTGTTTGTGCATTTATCCTAATTATTTGGGTTTATGCAGTTTTTATGCTGTTCTTATTGTGTGGTTTGACTATATTAGTTAAAAGGTTTTCAATCAATTTTAAAGGTTTAAATCTTTAGTCAATAATGGCAGAGTCAACTACTGATGAAGAGCTGGAAAAGCAAGTTCAGGAGCCACGGAATGAGCTCCCCATACCCACAGATCCTTCTGTCAGGCTAGGTTTGGAGGACAACGTTGAAACTAATGGTGACTTACTTGAAGGTCTCCGTCGCTCTGAACGTGCACGAAATCCCACTGAGAATATGCGTATGCACCAGGATGAAGAGGCCAAGAAAAGGGAGAAAAGGCTCCTATCCATGTATGAGAAATGGAAGCTGCAAATTCGCAAGGCAAGAAACCAGCTTAAGGTGTACATGCAAGAAAGTGAGCTCTGGCTTCTTATCGGGAACTTAAGAAGAGTCAAATAGACATAATGAACATATACTCTGAAATTCGAGATCTTGCTACACCTTCCACTGATATCAGAAGACGAGTTGACACGTGTGTTTCAGTGACCACCGAAATCATCAGCATTGCTCACAACAGAGCGATAGACGACAAAGCTGAATTTGATGAAAACCAGGAGAGACACCGCCTTCACGAGCTGCTCTGTCATGACCAGTGTTGGGAACGTTACTTTAAAAAAGTAATTAGTTATAGTTGCTGATTACTTTGTCAAAAAAGTAACTCAGTTACTAACTGAGTTACAAGATCATAAAAGTAACTAATTACCAACAAAAGTAACTACTTAGTTACTTTTTTTCATTAAAGAATGCAAGAATTACTACAATAGTAAAATATAAATTACTAATGACTGAACATAATAAAATGTCCAAATGTTTTATATAAACCTGAATAATTTAAACAAATACGCACTTAACAGGAGGAACTACTAACAGGAACATTACACTAATCTAGACTATTAAAAGGTCACTGTGTGATATTTAACAAGACCCCAATCAGCTAACATTTAAAATTGCAAATAGAAACACCTGTAAAGGTTCCCGAGCCTTTAAATGGTCTCTCAGTCTAGTTAAATTACAGAAATAAATGTAATTTTGCACAGTATTCTAATTTTTCCAGCTTCACATAATTGTGTGTTTTTACTAGCATTTCTGTTGCTGGTAATCTAGTAACGGTAAAATAAATAAATAAAATCCTTTAAAATGACACTAGAAGAGGCACAAGCCTGATGGAGGACTTACATTTACTAACGTGGGTCAGACCCAACCACAGAAGAGCTGAAGCTGGGTGGTAAACACACACAGGTAGTTCTAATAACACCTGAGCTCCATGCCGTCTGAGACAGATGCATCAGTGTTACAGCGGGACTAAAGACATGATCAGAAACAGGTTACAGCTGGATGATCTAGGAAGGTAGAAGATCAGGATGTCTGAGCGGTGAACAGGTGAGCGGACCTTCGGGACATCCCGCTGTCACGCTAAGGACACGGCTGCAGACCCGCAGATTTGCTGCTGCAGCAACAAATCTGCGGGTCTGCAGCCGTAGATATTCATCACGTCTTCCTCGCTCTTCACGGGCCGTGACGCACTTGGATGAAAACATCTGCCTCTTTAGCTCCTGATCAGCTGATGATGACAGCTTCAACACACCGCGCTGCTTAACGCACGCTTTTCCTTATCAGTAACAGAAACGACGTTTTGATAAAAGAAGACGTAATTAATTAGTTTGCTCGTTACAGAAAGAAATATTTTTTATTAACGTGGTTATTTTAAACGGAGTTATTCCCGTTGTGTCTACAGAATGCAGCGACTGAGACCGTGAGGGTCTCCGCCCACCCGGCCAATCATCATGGTGTTTGTAAGTGCGTTACCGACACCTCTCTCTCCCTGGCTGCAGCTGAAGTGTGGCGGTCAGAAAGCCTCACGCTGCTGCTCAACGTTCGACAAGCACATAGTAACGCACAACCTTCCGTCCCCAGTAACGGTAACGGCGTTGCAACGGCGGGAAAAGTAATTAATTAGATTATTCCGTTACCTATAAAAGAACGCCGTTAGAAACGCCGTTATACTTAAACGGCGTTACTCCCAACACTAGTCATGACTATGCAAAATCCATTTATGGATCTGCCTCCTCCATGACAAGTTACAAGTCAGACCATCATTCAGTCACATCGTCGTTATTAGCCAAGCGGGCGGATGCAGCAGCTGAACTGGCAGCGAAGGAAGCAAGCTATGAGATGCTACAAGAGGAAGAAAGACAAAGGGAATTGATACGAGAGTTAGAAGAACAACATCGTAAGGCTCTAGAGGCTCAAAAATGTGAATTGGAGCGATTACAGGCAAAAAAGGAGGTGCGGGCGGCCCGAGCTAAACTGAAAGTCTATGATAAAGAGGCAGAAGGCGATGCATTCTACTATACTAACAATGAAAGTGACAAGGAGACAAAGGAAGTGCCTGTTACTGCAATTAACCCCCCTTATGTCACCACACCCTCAGGTACTGATATCTCATCTCTCACTCGACTGTCTTTCAAGACAGCCTAGCCTTAAATAGGCTTCCTGCTCCATAGCCATTTGTTTTCAGTGGTGATCCAATACGGTTCATTGAATGGAAGGCAGCATTTACTTCACTTGTCGACCAAAGGTCAATCACTCCTGCTGAAAAACTTTACTATCTCAAAAGATACGTTGGTGGGCCAGCACGCCAGGTTCTGGATGGCACCTTCTATCGAAGTGATAATGAGGCATATCAAGATGCCTGGAAAAAATTGAATCATCATTTTGGCCAGCCATTCGTTATTCAGAGAGCATTCAGAGAAAGGCTTTACAATTGGCCAAGGATTCAGTCTAAGGATGCTGAGGGGCTTAGAAACTTCTCAGACTTTCTGAATGCCTGTCAAGATGCCATGCCTCATGTCAAGGGACTTGACATATTGAACGACTGTGAGGAAAATCAGAAACTCGTACATAAATTACCAGACTGGCTGACCTCACGCTGGAACCGTCTAGCTACACAAAGCTTGAATGAGAAGCAAGAATTCCCCAGTTTCAAGGAGTTCGCCAGTTTTCTGTCAACTGAAGTGGAGATTGCCTGCAATCCCATTACATCTTTGTATGCTCTTCATCTATCAGACTCAAGCACTGAAAGGAGAAATGTCCGAGATGAAAAGAGAAACAAGGCCAGTGCTTTTAATATTCAAACAGTTGCAAATGAAGATGAACAAAGGTCAGACTACCGAAAGGTTAAGATTTCATGTATTCTTTGTCAAGATGCCACACACCAACTTCATGGATGTCCCAAATTCGCAGAGATGTCATTGATCGAAAGACGGACTTATGTAAAGGAGAAGAAACTCTGCTATGGATGTCTAAAACCTGGTCACGGTGCAAAAGACTGCCACCATCGTCATTACTGTGACATCTGTAAGGGAAAGCATCCAACAGCCCTTCATGACTCCAATTATGCTAAAGAAAGACCTTCAGAAATGGGAATAAGTCATGGTCCTGCTGCAACTTCGCTCAGTGTAGCAGCAGAAGGTTCATCCAACACATCGATGGTGATACCAGTGTGGGTATCTTCTATAAATAACCCAGCTACTGAGAAACTTGTTTATGCTCTTCTCGATACCCAGAGCGACACTACATTTATCGATCAAGCAGTGAGTGATGGTCTTGAGGCAGACAAACATCCAGTTAAGCTGAAGTTGACCACCATGAGTGGAAGGGATACCGTTATCACAAGTGAGTGTGTTTCGGGACTACGTGTAAGAGGATACAGTTCCGCCATTCAAGTCAATCTGCCGAGGACCTACACAAAGGACTGTATACCGGTGAACCGTGCTCACATTCCTACTTATGAGTCAGCTAAACAATGGAGTCATCTCACAGAAATAGTTGAAGAAATTCAACCACTTAAAGACTGTGAAGTGGGACTCCTGATTGGCTACAACTGCTCTCGAGCCATGGCCCCAAGGCAAGTCATTTTAGGAGGAGATGAAGAACCCTATGCTATACGGACAGACTTGGGATGGAGCATTGTCGGACCGTCTTCACATGGTTATGATTCACTGAGCAGAATTAGTTTCTGTCATAGAATCGCTGTAAAAGAGCTACCTCCTGCAACTCCTGTCGATGTGATCCGCATATTGGAATCTGACTTTAATGAAGGAAGCGAAGATACCAAAACAGTCTCACAAGATGACATCATCTTTCTCAACAAGCTAAGTGAAGGCATAGAGAAAAACAGACATGGTCATTACGAAATGCCTCTGCCATTCAAAATCAGACCTAACCTGCCTGATAACAGAGATGCAGCGTTGGTACGCCTTAATCATCTTAAAAGGAAACTGCAACGAGACGAAAGGTACAAAGAGCAGTACATCAGATTTATGGAGGAGGTCATAGAAAGAGGAGAAGCAGAAGAGATTGAGAATGGTGGGAGCGATGGGGAAAGATGGTATATTCCCCATCATGGTGTATGCCATGTACAAAAGCCAGACAAACTTCGTGTTGTGTTCGACTGCTCAGCCAGATATAAAGGTACCAGCTTAAACGACCATCTACTCTCTGGCCCTGACATGTTAAACAGCTTGAGTGGAGTTCTCATACGTTTTCGTCAACATTCTGTTGCACTGATGTGCGATATTGAAAAGATGTTCCACCAATTCTATGTTGATGAACCTGATCGAAATTACCTTCGCTTTCTGTGGTGCAAGCAAGGAGATTTGAACTCAAAGCCAAGCGAGTTCCGCATGAAGGTGCATCTGTTTGGCACAGCATCCTCCCCTGGATGTGCTAATTTTGGGCTGAAGCATTTAGCTAAGGAGAATGCCAACATCTATCCTCAAGGCTCTCGATTCATCATGAGGGACTTCTATGTAGATGACGGGCTCACAAGTGTGGGAAACGCAGAAGACGCTATTCAACTTGCCAGAGAAGCCCGTGAACTTTGTGCCACTGGTGGGCTCAGACTTCACAAGTTTGTGTCGAACAACCTTGATGTCCTGGAGAGTATACCACTCTCTGAACGAGCAACAAATGTGACAAATATGGATCTCAAGCTTGACACCCTTCCATCAGAGAGAGCTCTTGGAATCAAATGGGATGTAGAGTCCGACCATTTTAAGCTTAATGTCAGCCTTAAAGAGCAGCCTGCAACACACTGCGGTGTCCTGTCTACAGTGGCCTCCCTGTATGATCCACTCGGCCTTGTAGCACCAGTTCTGCTTAAAGGGAAAATCATCCTTCAAGAGATGCGTAGGCGTGGCACAAGCTGGGACGATTTCCTTCCCGATGAGCTCCGTCCAAAGTGGGAACAGTGGAAAAACAAACTGTCTCAACTGGATAATGTTGCAATACCCCGCCAGTATGTACCTGCTGGATTCGGAAGGGTTTTAAAGACAGAGCTGCATCATTTCTCTGATGCCAGCACAAAGGGCTATGGTCAGTGTTCATACCTCAGACAACAAAATGAAGATGGAGATGTTCATTGCAGCCTAGTCGTGGGAAAGGCTCGAGTTTCACCCACAAAACTCACAACTATTCCACGATTGGAACTGATGGCGGCCGTTATTTCAGTGAAGATGAGCAACATGCTAAAGGAGGAATTTAGGTCCGCGGACATTGAGGAATTTTTCTGGACCGACTCAAGGGTGGTTTTGGGATATATAAAGAACGAAGCAAGGCAAACCCACACCTTTGTGGCTAACCGTGTCCAGAAGATTCAGCTTGGCTCAGCCCCTCAACAATGGAGATATGTTGCAACAAATGGCAATCCTGCTGACCATGCTTCTCGGGGTCTGAACACCAGTGAGCTTCTGTCATCCAACTGGTTCACTGGTCCAGCATTCCTGTGGAACAAGGAAATGAAGCTACCAGCAGACGAAACTCCGGATTTAACAATCGGAGATCCAGAAGTCAGAAGTGCCTTATCTCTCACCACAGGAACTGTGGAGCAAATCAGCTTGGCTGATCGATTGTCTAAGTTCTCATCTTGGCCCCTGGTCATCAGAGCTGTTGCACGCATTTTAAGGCGTATCAGAAAAAACAAGTCGGACAGTCTCACAACTGTAATGGAACGAGAAGATGCCGAACATTGCATAATCAAAGACTTGCAGGAAAATACTTATCAAGAGGAGTTGAAACTTTTGAACAAAGGGATTCGGCTACCATCCAACACTCGACTATACTCACTTGATGCATTCCTTGATCAAGACGGTATCCTCAGGGTGGGAGGAAGGCTGAGCAACTCCTCTCTTCCCAGCTCCATCAAGCACCCTGCGATCATCCCCAAGAATCATCCCATCACAAAGATGTTGATCGCTCACCATCACGAAAGAATGGAACACCAAGGTAAAGGCCTCACCATTAATGCTATTAGGTCCAGTGGCTACTGGATCCCAGGAATGAACCGGGTTGTAGCATCCTACATTCGCCACTGTGTCACCTGTAGACGGCACCGGAAGCCAACTGAAGAGCAAAGGATGGCTGATTTACCCCCTGAACGTGTGGAACCATCGCCACCTTTTTCCTTTTGCGGAATGGATTGCTTTGGCCCTTTCGTTACCAAGCAAGGAAGAAAGGACAGCAAGAGGTACGGTCTTCTTTTCACTTGCCTCAGCTCCCGGGCCATCCATATCGAGATGCTTGACAGCATGTCAACAGACTCCTTCATTAATGGTTTGAGATGTTTCATTGCTATTCGTGGCACTGTTCATCAGATCAGGTCTGACCAAGGGAGCAATTTTGTTGGAGCCAAAAACGAACTCAAGGAAGCTCTGAAGGAAGTTAGCGCAGACCGGCTGGCTGCATTTCTTGCCGAGAGACAATGTGACTTTGTCATGAATGCACCTCATTCAAGTCATGTTGGAGGAGTGTGGGAGAGACAGATTAGGACTGTGAGAAGTGTCCTAGGGTCTACACTTGCCTTGTCTTCTGGTAGGCTAAATGATGCCTCATTGAGGGCCTTCTTCTATGAAGCCATGTCAATCGTCAACAGTCGCCCTCTGACTGTTGATAACCTCAGTGACCCCCATAGTCTCGAGCCACTCACGCCCAATCATCTCCTGACTATGAAATCTACCAAGGCGTTACCTCCCCCAGGAAACTTTGTCAGGGAGGACATGTACAGTAGGAAAAGGTGGCGGCACGTCCAATACCTGGCAGAACAGTTTTGGAGTAGATGGCGAAAGGAATATCTTGCCAGCATTGCTCTCAGACAAAGGTGGCACACTCCAAGAAGAAACATGCAAGTTGGAGATATCGTACTCGTCAAAGGAGATGATGCACACAGAAATGAGTGGAGATTGGGGAGAGTTTCAGGTACTACTACCAATAAAGACGGACTCGTAAGAAGAGTGAAGATCTGCCTTGGTGACAGAAACCTTGGTAAAAAGGGGGAGCGTTTCCACAAGATGTCGGAAATTGAGCGCTCAGTCCAAAACCTTGTCCTGTTGTTAGAGACAAGCTGAATTTGCTCCTGTACTCCTTGGCTCACACTACCGCCTTCGATAGCATCTAATCTAAATTCAGTAGATCTGTTTATAAGGCTAGGTACTCCTAAGAAGGTTAATTTTACTTGAGAAATCATTCGTGCTTAATGTGCACAGTAAACTGTTTCATTGCTCACTCATGATTGGTGGGAGTGTAAATAACTGTGGAAAGGCTCTGTAAATAAGTGATTGTTCATGCATGGTTTTAATTTGATTTTATAGTTTTATACTGCATGCTTTTATTTTGGCAGACCAGCAGAGGAAATAAGGGAGAGCAGAGAAGGCCAATTGACTTTTGCTTGGAAACTGACAGCATGCTGTAAGACCAAACAGACAGGACTGGGCCTCTATACCCAACCTTTTGACAATTAAGCGCCTAGCTGGAATTGGGAACAAGGTATTGTTTGATGCATGTGTTTATGTGGATTGATGTGATTTTCTATGTATGTTGTTGTGTTTAAAGTGGTTAAATGCACAACAATGCTAACAGCCATCTCAACCATAGAGCCAGGTGAACACCCATGCTAATATTAGCCTTTGTGTGTTTCACATGCTTGGACTTAGTTTTAATATTGGTTTTAGCTTTTAACATGTTTATGCACATTTTTGATCTCACTCAACTTATTAATGTAGATTCAATAATATTGTAAATGGTTATATGGCATAAAGGTCATCTTTGTAAGAGCTCATTATATTTTCATTTATCTGTTTTATTTAGCTCTTACGGTGTTTCAAGAAAGAAAAGGTGGATTTATGTTCAAAATAAGGATGCCAGCTGAACATGAATAAAAATTCCTTGAGAAACATCAGTACGCTTCACCATTGTCTGGCTGGGTTCGCTACACTGGAGAGGTCTGCCGTCCACCGAGGTCACCGGAACAACACGTTCCAGGGGAGTCAGGGGGATCCATAGGCGTTTAGCCAGATCCACGTCCATGAAGTTGTCGGCGGCCCCCGAGTCCACCAGAGCATCTACCTGATGTGAGGTCTCGTCGTGAAAGAGCGTGACAGGAAGGAGGAGTCGGTGGGAAGAGATAGGGGCAGAGGGTGACCCGGGCTGAGCTACCCTGATACTCAGTGGGTTCCTCCGTTTCCCGGCCGTAATGGGTAGTCCAGGCGCCGGTGGTCGGGAGAGCCACAATAGGCACAGAGACCCTTGCGCCACTGTCGCTGTCTCTCCTCCGGGGGAAGGTGGCCTAGCTGCATAGGCTCCTCTGTTGAAGTGGGTCCAGGAGCTGGCGTTGGTGAATGAGGAAGAGGTCCAGGAGCTGTGAGTGGGCGAGTGGAGGACCTGGGTCGAATCAGAACCCGCTGGTCGATGCGCAGCACCAGGTCGGCAGCTTCATTCAGGGTCTGGGGCAGTTCTTTTCCCGCCATCTCGTCTCGGATGTAGGGCACCAACCCCTCCAAGAAGACAGCCCAAAGGGCAGAGTCATCCCGTTTTAGTTTGGCCGCGATGGTGCGAAACTCGGACGCACAGGCACACACGGAGCGTTCCCGTTGGCGGAGCTTGAGGAGACGTGCTTCAGCCCCCACTTCACTACTGGGTGGAACGAAGGTCTTCCTGAGGGCGGCCACAAAAGCAGCATAGTAATTGCAGGCAGGGGATTTAGAATTACAGAGAGCAGCGGCCCACTCCTGAGCGCGTCCAGAAGCAGAGAGGTGAGGTGCACAACCCGAGAGCGGGCAGTGGAGAATCGTCCTGGTTAGCACTCGAATTGCATGTCGAGGGAGGCGAGCAGACCATCTGGGCTTCCAACGTAGGCTGAACTGCGACTCCCCCTTAGGTGGAGCGAGGGCTTGCTGCTGAAGTGCATTGATGGATGTGGATAATTGAAGGGTGAGGTCGGTCAGAGAGTTCACCTTGATGTTGAGCCTGTCGACCAAGGCGTGAAGCTGAACAATCTCATTCTTCATTCGCTCAAACTCCGCTGGGTTAAGGGACTCAGTCATCCTGTCAGACTGGTCGGCTGGATTCGGGAGTTGAACTTGTGGACAGCGTGGTTTCACAGACACGGAAGTGATAGCGTCGATGAAACGCCGGCTCACGATTTAATCTAGGAATCCCCGAGCGTTCGAGCATCAATGAAGTGACACGGAAATGCTGGGTTTTCCAGAAGTAAGTAAGAACACTTACTGTGAGCGGATAAATCGTAAAATGGATCGATTGATTGGAAACTCTGATCATGGATCTGAAGAAACAATGACTGAGTGGTGAGCTGGGGAGGTGACTTCCGTATATAGTCGCGGTTAGTGACGTAGGTGTGACGTGGAAGGAATCCCCACGAGGGGCATGCTGGGAGATGTGGTTCATGGTGGAGATCGGCTAGCTGGGAGAGGCTGGCTTGGGGACTTGGGTTCTGACAACCAGGGTGTGGATGTTTGTGAGAATGCATGAATGATGCAGTTTGGAGTCTTGACTCTGAAAGGAGCTACAGCACAGGTCATTTATCATTGATTTAAAAATAGAATTTACCATTTTAAAGATTATTGAAATATACTTTTGCACTTTTTTAGATCATATATTTTTCTTGCATACATTTTAAAAGTCAAAATTTTTTCACTCATTTTGGAAGTCATGCTCCACAAAAGGTGAACACGCTCTCTGAAATCCTTTTAGTTGCCTCCCTACCACATCTTGTTGTTCTGTGAATCAGCCATATGTCTACTCCATGTCACCTCCCGCTGCATATGAAGTTATAAATTGGTCCTGGCGTCGCACTGAAATTGCTTCGCTCAAAGTCTCAAAGTCACTTCAACCAAACCTTGAAGTCTTGCAAGTGTCATCATGTTACAAGGACTCGGGTATCTTTTCTCACCCTCGCGGTGCTTTCATCATTTAATGTCACTTTTCTGCTGTCCAAACTCAAAACAGCTAAAACACACAACCGCTGGGACAACTTGTGTTATCAAATAACAGTAAAGTCTTTGTGATGAACATGTAATAGTATTAAACTCATATGAAGAAAGGGAGAAACACTGTTTTTTTACAGAAGGTTTACAGTACTTGTATGGTGACATCATAAAGTAGTAAAAATGAAAAGCAAAGGTTACAAACCCATAAAATGTTTTCTATTTTTTAAATTATTTTTTTCTTTATCTTTAAAAGAGGAACATAGTATTTGGTCTGAGAAATTTACATCCATCTCTGCTAGTTATGCAGCCACTCAGTCTTTCCACAGCTATTTATAAAACCCAGGGTGTTTTCTTTACCAGAGCCGTTTTTTGTCTTGTTTTTGTTGTTCTATGGGCCAAAAGACATGTCAGAACACAAAGGACACTTTCATGAAATATTTAGTATCTGTCAATCGCTTATCTACTCTTTTCCATTTGTGCCTTCATGTAAAACTCTCAGAGTGCCATCAGCTGTCATGACATTGCTTTGAAACCTGAAAGGGAAAAATAACCGTCACTCAAACTGGTCCACCCAAGGTCCAACTAAATTTTGCATGAGGTCTTTTTTATTTTTTGAAAATCAATCAAATTGTGACTTTCAGCAACTATCTTTATGTGAAAATCCACTTTAGGATAAACCAAAAATAACAAAGAGTTCACTGTCACCGTCATGGATGAGACGCCATTATTGCTGCCACAAAGAACTGGAATGACTCTTCCTGAATAAAGATTACTCCTCATGACAACCCCCTTGGGGAGGAAGTTGTTTCTTTGTGCAAAGTTTATGACCTTTTTCATCCCAACAGCGAGCCGTGTCATTATCCGTGATTGACGTCCCCTCACTGTCGAGTTGGTTCTGGATAATTAGTGTGGGGAAAAAGGTGTTGGATTTGTCAGGGTTTAGATCAATTCTACTTTCTGTCAGATCCACAAGCTGCAAAAGACTGTCTTGTCTTTGCAGCATCAATAATAAATTAACACAATGCTTCAGGACAGCAGGCTGTAAAATTTTTGCCTGACTGAATATAAAAGCTTCACTGGATGAAAATGTGTTTTCTTAAAGCTCATCTGCAGAACTTTTGTAAACAATAGCAATAACTCATCATTCGTCTGTTTCTCAAAATTTACTAAACAATTACAAAATAATTTAACAAAGATTCTGAGATTTATATTCACAAAAAGTTACATTTCATCAACTTTCTGCTTTGCCTCCAATCACACTTTTGCAGCTCAGGCTCCTGCAGTGTGTTGGTAGTAATTGTAACTAAATAAATGTTTGATTAACAAATTCAAACCAAAAAAGGAGCACAAGAGCAGCTCTTCGGGTCATTCTCGCATTACTGCAGCAACATTAAGCAGAAAATCTTTAAGATAAAAGTCTGCAAATCTGGCAGCAGTTTGTGATGATACAGTAGCTATCTCATGAAATGGGTGGAATTTACATGGCTGGAGGTAGGATTTAATTGAATCTAAACATTTTATTTCTGTGTTGATAAAATATCTCAAAAGAATAACTTATTCCAGAACTAATTACACTTCCATAATGCCAACTGTAAAATGTTATCTATCTATGTATCTATCTATGTATCTATCTATGTATCTATCTATGTATCTATCTATCTATCTATCTATCTATCTATCTATCTATCTATCTATCTATCTATCTATCTATCTATCTATCTATCTATCTATCATCTATCTATCTATCTATCTATCTATCTATCTATCTATCTATCTATCTATCTATCTATCTATCTATCTATCTATCTATCTATCTATCTATCTATCTATCTATCTATCTATCTATCTATCTATCTATCTATCTATCTTCCAGCTGATGCCAAAGTAAATAAACCACTGTCTCTTGTTACTCTATTTAATTTAATATTTTTATTCTTTTTTGCAAATTCCTAAAAAAATAGCAGTAACATTTTATACAAATAGAAAATTACATAATTTATTGTAATTTGCTTTCATTTGTAATTTGAACAAAGCTAAAAAAGAAGAAGAAATGATCCAGATATATAAAAGTGGCCCTTGGTGATTGATTTAGTCATTAACAAGCAACAAGATACACTTCCCTATTAGCAGTGTTCGTCTAAAGACCAGAGGACAAGTCATGACATGCAGGGATTTTTTCAATTCCCCAGTTCCTTTCCTGACCTCTCTCTCATTCACTAAGCAGGGCCCTCATGGAACACCCAACAACAACATTCACTCACTTTTTCGCCATGGGAATACACAACATCAGCAGCAACACTCTAATTTAGTGTTTGGGTACATTTTTCATTACAACTTCAAGTTACAGAAAAACCTCATCTTTGGTTTTCTAAAAAAGGAACAAAATCCAACTCTTTAGGGGTAATTATCCCAGAAAGGTTAATAAGCAGGTAGGCGTCTCCTCTTCAATAATAAACTTTATTAAAATTATTAAAGTAAACCCCAATGAATTTAGCCAAATGGGGCAGAGACCTGGCACATTTAAGTCTCAGAGGAGGGAAGGCCTGTAATAGAAAAGAGAGCCAAGACATATCATTTAAAATCTATCACTGGTACAATAGAAATGATGAACACCTTGTATAGAGCCTGATGCTTGGAAGACAGTTCAAACAAGACTCTTGTCAAGGATGTGACCCCACACCTGAATGTGGTCTCTGACCACTCCACAAAAATGGCTCAGAGAGTAGAATGAGTCATAGGATTTCCCAGGATGAAAGCATCTTCTTGTTTGATGACAAACAGTGAGACCGGTGATCATCTTCAACTTAAAGAAGAATCCATGGAGCTTCCCTGCTCTGCATTTATGTACCGTGACCTCGTTTTCTGCATACATCTCAAGTTGCTCATTATTTCATAAGGCTTCAGAGGAAATGTATATTATTTGCAATCCAGCTATGCTGGGGAGCTTTCCTAAAGTTAAACTAAACCGTTTCAGCTCTTTTATGATTTCATGATTGGTTTATATTTATGT